AAATACTTGGCCAAGAGTTCCCAAACAGCTTGCTTCGATCTCAAATTTTTATTTCCTTTGTGAACACAAATATTTTTTAAAAAATTTTCATGAAGAACGGTGTCGTTTCGAGAACATTCAGACAACAAAGATTTTGGATCAAAGTCATTCGTAACTTTAATAAACAAAAAATATTTTTTTAATATTGGATTATTTTTGTATTTATTCCATAAAAATGAGTATTTTTTAATAATTATGAGAGCTCAGGACCTATCAACAAGGAGGATTAAGAATCCGCCGTCTGTTACATATTTACCAGCTCTTTATGAGGCGAAAACGTTAAGGATTTGAGGAATTTAAGATTTAATAACTTATGTTCTTTAATTCAGCCGAAAGAACCTCACCGAAAAACAGATCGTTTTCGGCTCGATTCCTATTTATTATTCGAAAACTGACTACCCTAATCTCCATAAAAAGGGCCAGTTTAAGTAAGTAGCCAATTTTACAAGGAATATCTTATGTAAACTTGAATCATGTATCAATATCTTAATAAAGGTGCTTTTTCATTCTGGACCTATAACAAGTTTGAGACTAATACTAAATTCGAGACTAATACCAAAACATACAAACCAAGCTAATACCTGAGACTAATAGCAAGTCTAAGACTGATACCTAGATGTATTTTATGTTAATCTTTAAAATATTTTATGTTAATTTTTAAAAAAGCAACCTGCCAACTTTAAAGTTAACATAAACAACAAGAAAATTAAAATTTTTATCATTATGAATTGATAAACATTTAATAAATTTTAAATTTCCAAAACAATTTTTTGTTAAATAAAAATAAAATATTTTTAAAGGATAAATAAAAAATAAATAACAATTTTTCCTTTAATGAAGAAATAAAAGCGCATAAAGGATAAATAAAAGGGAATAGCGCAGCTTGGCAAATGCACTTAATCAGCCGCTTAAAGTCAATAAAACATTAAAAGAATCTCGCGCAATAGCCACGAATCGCATGTGAATGTCAATAAACATAATACTATTTTTCTTTGATTTTTTAATTAAAGGGCGGCAAAAGGGCAAAATAAGGTTAAATTTAAAATTTAGCGAATGACTTTTTTAAAATAAAATTCGGAAATTTTTAAATAAATTCTGACTTTGTTTACACCGTTTTATGAGGTATAAGGAAATATAATGGTAGCCAACGGATTAAATCAACATTTCACGCATCTTAGATGGATTAACTGAATTATAGTAAATCAGAACTAGGCTAGTTATTTATCCTTCAACTAATGCCAATGGATATTTAAACCACTGCAAGCGAATCGGATTCTACATGAGAACGGACTAATATGTTAGAATTACACCGCGCCGTCCTTGCAAGGTATTAGGAATAAGAATGCTAAATTTCGGAACTCTGAAGACAAGTTGTGCACCTCAATCCTGAGTTACATGATTTTCCATATATGGTGTTACATAGGAAAACTCAGTTAAACTAATATAGTTTAATAAATAATAAATGAATAAATATGAATAATAATATAAATATGAATAATAATAATAATATAAATATGAATAACATACATAATAATGTAAAACAATTACAGGTGTACATGTAATCAAGACTGTCCGTAACCGGGAATTACGCATTTTCACATTAATTTGAGAGATTTTTCAATTACAGACAGTTTTGAAGATGTTTGCACATTCATGATCATTGTATCAAATTCCGACATAATTTGCATGGTACTGTATTAGCTCTAAAATAGACACTCTAGAGGTCTATCGAAAAATAGCCCCATGGGGTTATTTTTGAGGATTTACTATATATAATATTTGCTTAATTTGATCATTATCTTAGCTATCAAAATAATAAATATTTCTGAATTCACATCTTACCCCTGTTAGAGCTGTTTTTGAAATTCGATTATGATATGAAGGGCTATTTTCTATTTCGATTTCAATGATTTTGAGAAATTTTAATGATCTTTTTTTTCTAAAACTGTTCTAATTCTGAAGATGCAATCATGGCCATCTCTAGCAATAATCATAAATATTTACTCAGAGCTTTCAATATGAAAACTATAGGAGTAAGATTTTTCAATAACTGTTATATAGAGTTGGGAGGGAACGTGATCCCGGTTTTCTGAATCCCGATCGTGATTTTTCTAATCCAGAGACCGAAAGACAAATCTCGATCCAGTATCGTGACATTATTCCAAGATCCCGATACCGCTCAACTCTATATACTACTCAAATAAATAATAAACTAAAAATAAATAAATCAGTTACAATCTTTTTACAATTTGTGTTCCGTTTCGAACGAATTCATTGGTACAACTCTCATTCATTGGTCAATTCATTGGTACAACTCTATTACTTGCTAAAATTAATATTCAAATGATAAGTAATTGTATCATGGGCTAGTAAAGTTTGAAGATGATATAAAATATCAGCGGATATGATTGGTTATGGATGATTTTTCAATTTTTAATAAAGGAGATACCCTGAACCTTAATTTGGATCCAGATATTTGAATCCATCCTAGATCCTTCAACTCTAACCATTACCACTAAAACCTAACCTTAAAACACCGTAGCCTTAAGACCTTAATCACATCAATCTCGGTAAAAGTACCCAATACAGTAATCCAAATATTTTATATTTTATTAACATGCCTCGTTTCGAGTTTGAATTTTCTCGCCCAAATTCTTGGCCGTAAACGGGAAAAGAAGCAGAATTAGCCAACATTTTTCCGCTTTTTTCAACAAAATTCTTCTGATTAATATTGATAAGACTAGAATGTTTCTTATGCTTAACTCGACCATCTTTAGTTACGTTGGATTTCTTCTTTGTATTTCGAACATTTTCAGAAGCCGAAATTTTTGAATTTTTGAGTATATCCTCCGAAGTTCCTTTATGACTTCCTTATTAAAGATGAAATTTTTATTAGTCTGTGTATTGTTTATCATTGGATTAAATGAAATGAGTATAAAATCCATCTCGGTCAAATATGGCCCTCTCACTAAAGTTCTATTCGTTCTCAAGACTTACAAAGGTGTATTAATGCTCTTAGGTCGGATACCCCACAAAAAATTACTTAATAGATCAGTTAAGGGAAACCAACATTTTAGTTGGAAATACCTCGTATCCTCCTTATCAATCTTATAAAAAACCCTCTGTCCTTACCAAAAGACTAAAAACTAAAAAGAAAACCTAGTTTTATTTTGTTTCGTTCATCATTATCAGGGAAGGAAGCAGATTTCGTAACATCCTTTCTTTTTAAACTCAAGGACGAATTCTTTTTAAGAATTTTTTCATTCATACTCTTGCTTTTGAACAATTTACTATTTTTCCTTCGTTTACTCCATATTTGTCTTTTAATATTCTTTATTTTAGTCAAAACTTTTTTAGGTTTTGGTTTTGAAACAACCTTTAAGGCAAAATTCTTTTTGAGCATTGAAATTCGGTTTTCTATCGAATTCAAATTTCTTCCATTTAACCAATCCTGCACGGTCTGAAAGTCTTTCCTTTTCTCAATTTTACTTTGAGGTTGATATTTTCCGTTAAATAAGGCTTCAAACTCGTTGAATTTTTTATCAATAATTGTTTTTTCATGTATAATCAGGAAAAAATTTGTGTTTTTTAATTTATTTTGACTATACAATTTATCTAAATTTTTAGATTTATTATAGTTAATTATTTAGATATCTTTTAATTTTACAGGAACTTAATTAGGTACATTCATTATATGCACATAGTAGGTCTACTAATATAAGCCAATCCTTGTCGACCCATTGAAAAATACAAGCCTAGGACTTAATTAGAATATTTACGGCATTTAGACATCGAAAAACACCCATCAAAAACTAAATGTTTTTGATAAAATCCATTACATGATTTTTTAATCCCTCTACGAATAATAGAGAGCAACACAAAAATACAACTTTAGAGAATATAAAAATTAGTTAACGACTGAATAAACTAAAATCGTATGTACTTCCTTCGCCTATCAAAACATTTATTTTTATAACAAAATAAATGTATTTTTTAATATGTTGTAAAATTCTTATTTTATAAAAGAAGGGAAATTATGGTCAACGGTTTATTTACATAGCTTTGTTAATTTTACTATATTTATTTAAAAAATACATATATAAAATTTTACCCTTATATTCATACTCCAAAACACCCAATTTTTTCTCAATTTCATTTTCCTTTTCTGTTTCTCCATAACAATTAATTTTAAACTCGTTTGATTTGAAGAATGATAATAGGCCATATTTATCTTCATCAAATTTTGATAAATTTTTAATTTTTAAAATTTTTGTTTTTTTCTCTAGGAATGATTTCTCCTCGTTTTTTACTATTTCTTTCACTTCCGTTAATTTTAATTCTTGTTCTTCTTCTTTTTCTTCTTCTAAATTTAATTGGGTTTCTTCTTCTTCTGTCAGTTCTTTTTCCTCTCCTGTCATTTTATTTTATAAAAGCGGTAGTGGTACAGTGAACGGACTGAGCTTGTCGTATGTGAATTTAGATTCATATCCCGAAAATTCTGATCTCTATAACTCATATTTTTCTCTAGATCTCGTCCGAATCCTAGCTTAAATGGTATCGAGTTTGGATTTATCTATCAAATTCTAACCATTTTTAATCGAAATCTAAGTCTTAAATCTGGAATGATTCATACTTTACCTGATTACAAGGAGATTTATTAAATTATGAGAAAACACGGATTCATGCCTGATATAATTCATGGACATTATGTATATACATAGGATATACATATTACCGTATTGATTCTAATAAACCACTTACCGTAGATATTCTAATATAAACCCATCTCTATTAGAAGCCCACCTCTAATATAACCCATCCGAGCAGACCCACGTGACGAGATCTCGATCGAACAGACCGTGATGAGATCTGATGAGATCTCGATCGAAAAACTCAGTTATCTAGATCGAAGATGTAAGCTTCAAGATCTCGATTCTCTTAAGACACTCCCAGTCCGGTCTCTAATGAAAATTTATTGTTTTGTTACCATAACCATTTTGTAGAGCTGATATTTTACTATTAATTTCAAATATTTTTTCATTTTTTTCTGTCATTGCTTTTTCTTTTTCTTCAATTTTTAACTCAATATCCTTCAATTGTTCTTCCTCGGTTACCTTAATATCTTCATTTCTTAACTTTTTTAACTCATTTTCTAATAATTTCACTTGATTACTCAGATTTTCTTTTTCATTTACCAACTTCATTATAACAACTTCATTGTTACCTAATTTGCGTTTTCGTATTCTAAAGTCCCCATCATACTCTCTAATATCCGATTTTAAACGATTTTTCATCTGTAATTCGTTAAATTTAATCTTTAGTTTGTTTTCATCTTCTTCCATCTTTTTCAATTTATTTTTTAAAATTTCTTCCTCATCCGTTCCCATCTTCATCTTCATTTCCTCGTTGATTTTCTCTTTTTTCTTCCTTAATTCCTTTAATTTGCCTTGCATTTCATTTGTTTTTTGAGTATATATTCCAACATCTTCTAATGACGTTTTCGAAAATTCATTTTGTAATATCTTTCCTTCCTCTTTATAATTCTTCATTTTCTCCTCCAAAAATTGTACTAACTTCACAAAATCATTTCCATAATGAATTACAACGAGAGACAATAAATCTGAGTTAAATAAGTAATTTATGAATATATAAATATACTCTCCCTATATGAAAGATACAGTAATACTTTAATATAAGCCCAGCTCTTGTAGAAACATACTTCTAGAATAAGCCCATCAGACGAGACCTATTTAAAACTCTTGTAGCCATAACAACCATTTTCTCATGGGTTTTTATCATAGTGTACTATCATAAGACACCTCATACTAGACATATTGGATAACATTTTAACCCACGACTATTATGATAATTTCCCAGTTAAATTAATCATCCTATTTGTTATACATAAAAGTGATCAATAGGATATAATTTTAACATTATAAATGAATAACCTTCAAATTTTTCATCAAAGATATAATTAATAATTCGGTTAGTAGTATCCTCCATATATTGATCATTTCCAGCAAATCCAGCTATAATCAGCATTCTTTTCATGTATTCAGGTAATCTAATAATTAAATTTTTAAAAAATTTTCCCAGTATTTTCTCAAAATTTTCCCAGTATCTCGCTTTTTGGGTCCTATTATTTTTGGGGTTTATTATGGGTAATTCTAAAATAATTCCAACATCCCGTGACGAGGAGACGTTTGCTTACCAAGGCTAAGAAATGCACGAAACACTCAATTCTGTTTAAACCAGATCCTAATTACCCTTAATATAGTAAGCGTGTGCTTCCCAGCAAATAGCAAAAGATTGGATCAAATTAAAGTCGACGGGACCTTAAACGCTTCCCGGTGCAAGGGGAAGCGTAATCATTAATCATTTCACAACAGACTGGTCCTTATTAGCTTTGCTTTATCTGCCGAGTAGGGAGGAACCTTTCCGGCCTTACAATATGTAGATACCCTACAAACCAACTTACCCTTTAATTGTAGCTCCTTCATCCTTTCTATCTCCTTCATGCACAATATTATTGTTCTCTAAATTACCCTGACTTTCTTCATTCGTTTGAGTTTCGAAAATTTTTTTACCACATTTTTTAAACTTTTTAACAAATGATAATACGATATTTGACGACATTTCAAAATTGATCAGGATTTCGGTAAATGCTTCAGTTAATACTTTGTCATAATTATCTATCGTGGGATCTTCACATAATTTAAGGATTTCTTCAGAACTCTAAAATTAATTTTATTAAATATAAATTTATAAAATAATTGTAAAATATTATTTGAATAAGTTTCTTGCTATTAAGGCTAATAAAATTGTTTTTAAATATGGGTGTTTGCGCGATTTTGGCGTTATGACATTTGGGATATTTTAAGAATTTTAAAATCTGTGTTGTTACCAAATAAGTTTTTCTAGCCTTCTTACTATTCTAACATTCTGTGCTATTACTCAATTTCAGTGATCTTATATTTTTGTAATTTGTGAGGGAACCTTGTACTTTTAATTAGAGTTGGGCGGTATCAGAATTCCGACCTAAATCGGTATTTTGGAATGATGATACAGATACCGATATCGGCTCAGTAGCGGAATTGGCCAAAACCGGTATCGAGATTCCCAATTTTTTGCTAATACCGAAATCCCGATACCGGTCGGTATCGCTATTCCAAAAAACCAGTATAAAGCCGCCAGATACCGGTCGGAATCCCGATACCGCCCAACTCTGCTCATAATATTAAATTGAAAAATACATCCTAACCTCCTCAAATTTTTCATCAAAAAATTGATCATTTCCAACGGATTCTATTCGGTTAATCAAAATATCCCATATCTCTGTCATCTCTCTCTGATTTATTGTCAGATATTGTTTGTAAGATAAAAAATCTTGCAACTTTGAAACTTTTTTATTTTTCTTTATCTTCTCAAATTCTTCATACTTTGCTTCATCTTGCTTTATTAATACATTATTAAACATGTTAATGATCTGTTTCAATTCAAATTTTGGGCTTGCCAAAATAATTTCATACAAAATATCAAAATCTATTGGATCCTCTAAAAATGTCAATTTCTAAGAAATATTAAAAATCTAAATCTCGCCTGAATTCAAGGTGGAATAAAGCCTATCAGCCAGTGATTTACTTCTATCGTCTATCAACAATTCTAATAATTGAGATTTATGATGTCCAAACTGTTCACTTCCATAAAAAATCTTTTTAAAACATTCCTTCATATTACTCTATAAATATAAACAGTTATAGAACAATAGAAATTATGATTGATCTCGCTTAATTCTCCAACGATTTTTATAAGTTTATCAGCTCAATTAAAGTTTAGGAGCCTAATGATAAGTGTTATAGATCTGACAGCTGTTATTGAGTAACTTTCCCTCAGCTTTATAAAAGAAAAGAAAAAGACCAAAAAACATTCATTGTGTCATCCGAACAGCTAAAAAAGGAGAGGCTTTTTCTTTTCTCCCCCTATCGCTTAAAAAACTTTCCCTTTTTGTGTTGAATAAAAATATTTTGTTGATAGATTTGTTTAAAAGTTTTTAGTAAGGTTAGGGGACCGGACTCCCAGGGCTTCTCCCGAAGGTCTCCCGAAGGTCTCTCGACCCTCGGAAGATCCAACCCTGGGAGGGTATCAATTTTTCTTAATAATAAGCATATTAGCTACGTAAAATTTTGACTTGCCTCATAAAGCTTAATTGCGATACTAAACTATAAAATGACCTACATAAATTTTAAACACCTTTTCGCAATATAACTTGGCCAATTCTTGCCTTCGCCATTGTGGAAGAGGCAAAAATAATTTATTTTGCAACTCCCAGCGTAATTTATCGTAATCTGACAAAGATTGAATATATTCCAAAATTGTCAATAAAGATGCTGATCTATTTTTATCCGACTTAGTAAATGGATCAGTTGAATCAGTAATTGGATGATAACGACTACACGTAAATTCTATAAAGAGAATATTAATGACAATAATCGTGGATATTCAGAATTTTATAAAACGAGATTTTTACTTTAAACACGATCCTAAACTTATTTTTCCCAACCCTTCCCATCTCTGACAGGGATAGCTAAAATAAATATATTTATATGATCATGCTAATCAAGTTATACATGCTAATCAAGTTTCAACCTCCCACTGTATGTGATAATTCTATGGGGGTATACGGCAGGTATTATTACTAGAGTGGGTAATTATTTAATTATATATACGTTATGTATATAATTTTATATAAATATTTAATCATTTATTATTTAAAATATTCCTTTATTATAAATGATATTATTGGAATACTAATGAATTATATTACCTGATTTGCTTGCCATCACCTACAAAATGAAAATTTTATTTATTAATAATTTTATTTATTAATTTTTAGTATAGATTTATATGAAATACCTGTTCTATCTCTTCACACCTCTTTTTTAGCTTTTCAATTCTACTCGAAATAGAATTTTCATTTTGTCCATTCTTCCATTCATTAAATGTTTTAAAATCACCTCTTCTCTTCATTTTACTCGGTAGATATTCTAAAATACTATCAAGATCGTTTTCGAAAATTGCCATTCTTCTACATAAATCGTTCAATTTAATCCAATCTCCATTATGGTAGTCAGCTTAACATTTGAATTTAAAATTATCGTCTACTTATATCTCATAAAAATTAAAAATTACCAGTATACTCATATTCAAAATTTCCCATCTTCACCTCAGTTCCATACTCTTTTTCTGTATACGATAAGCATTTTAAATTTGGAGATAGTTCATCATAATCAGAATCAAAACTCGCTATAGAACCATAACTCGCTATAGAATCACTAGCTTTACCCAAATCTCTTTCATCTTCTTCAGCAATTCCATCCTCTTCATCTTCGTTAACAAATCCGTCATCTTCAATCTCTTCAACATTTCGCTCAAAAATTTCCTCATCCTCTACATCTCCTTTATCTTCAACAATTTCCTCATTAGCTTCATCGCCTTCCGATAAAATAAATTTGAAAAACGCATCCAAACCCAACACATCATTTTCAATTTTTACCAAATTTGCATCTTCAGATGCTATAATCTTGTCCTTCAAAATTTTAGCAATTTCAACAAAATTATTTCCATGATGAATTACCACAAATGTCAACAATTCTGTGTTAAAATTTAATAAAATTCAAATTTTTAAACTTGGGATAGGACTTTAATCTAAGGATAAGACTGAGGGGTGGGGTCTGAGGATATGACTTAAGGGAAGGGGTCTGAGGATAGGACTGAGGGTGTATGAGGATATGACTGAAGGAATGGGTCTAAGGATTGGACTGATGAGGGGACTGAGGATATGACTGAGGGGAAGGGGTCTGAGGGGGTGTGTGAGTGTGAGTATAGGACCAGAGGGGGTGTGAGTGTAGGACCAAATCAGTATCTATTACCAAGTCTGGTATATACGATGTTTTGCAAAGAATATCGTAAGTGTTAGAGCAGACTAAAAGACAGAACTAGAAGGCTTAAACCCTCGAATTTAAGTAAAGTATCAAAAAAATCAGATAATTTCTTTACCCTCATATTTTCTATTTTTAATATAATTTATGATTCGATCAGCAATATCTACGTAATATTCGTTTTTTCGTGCCAATCCAGATATAATTAACATTCTCCCTATATATTCAGGAAATTGTTCATCAAAAATTATCTTTTCACATTCTTCAAAATTAGAAATGCTGGATTCCATAAATTCAGAGGAGTTTAACAGTACTCCCATTGATGAAGTTAACTGTATTAAATCCTCTTCTTTGACAACCTTATCAATAAATTTTTTGTTTAACTCTTTACATAATGGAATGGTTCGTTTTCCAATCTAAATAATAGATTAAAAACAATAGCTTGGATATTGATGAATACCCACAAGAGAGATAATTCGGTATTGCTTCAGTAAGTATCACTTTTATTCCTAAAGCATTCATAGATCTTGTGACCTTATGGCATCATGTGCAGGTCTGCACGCAATTGCGGATTGCGAGTTGCGGATTGCGTAAATTGCGCGGGTTTATGCTATTGCGAGTTGCGGATTTCGTTTGCGGATTTTTAAAAAGAAATTGCGAGTTGCGGATTGCGGGTTGCGGAATTTTTTTTCGATTGCGTGCAGCTCTGAGCATGTGACTTTGATGCTCGGGAGAAGTAAAAATTACGAAACGGGAGTCGGGTCGGGAAATGGCCTCGGAAGTTGGGATACCTTGGAATCACTATAAGCATAATAATACAGTCTGGCGCAAAGTATATGTCCAAGAGTGTGTGAATTTTAATTTTGTTAAATCGCATGATTTTAATACATTTTTATTTATTATACATTTTTTGCGAGCTTTAAAATGATTATAAATTTATGGAAAAATATTTCCAATTCATAGAGTTATGATTTTTTAAATAAATGTACCCCTATATCGAATACCTCTTTAAATTCTTCCTTGTCAAAAGTTGTATTTTTCTCAGCAAATACAACTCGATTAATTAAAATATCCCATATCGCATCATTTTCATTTTGTTGCCCTTTGCTATCAGTTAAATATTTTTCCAATTTTGGACGTAATTTATCATCCTTCTCAATAATTTTTTTCAACTCAAATTTTGGGCGAGCCAAAATAATGTCGTATAAAGTGTCAAAATCTATTGGATCTGTTGAAAATTATATATTTAGAAATAATATACACCTCATTTTAATTTAAAATTATCTGGTATGTATAAGATGGGGACGATAAACCAATTTATGATAAATGCAATCAGGGATAAGATCTCTCTAACATCTTCCGCCTACTATCCGAATTCGAGCGAAAATTCTGAAAGTTTGAGCCCAGGAGTCGTATAAATAAAAAAGTTGCTTATATGCTAAAGAGCCTTTTACTTCCGTCTACCTCACTAGAGAGAAGGGCCTGTCCTCATTAAAAAGAGAGTGAGAGAGGGAGAGAGAAGGGCCTGGCCTCATTAAAGAGTGAGAGAGGGAGAGAGAAGGGCCTGTCCTCATTAAAGAAAGAGAGAGAAGGGCCTGTCAACATTAAAATTCCGGAAGAGCAAGCCACTGATAAACCTCAAATTATAATAGATCACTACCACTAGTAAGCGGTATATCATGGGTCTGTCAAGACATATTTGGCACGGCCTTGTTAGACCTCATAGAGAGACCTCCCTTATTTATTATTAATTTTAAATGCACTTGAATTTACGGTGGAATAAAGCCTCTCAGCTAGCGATTCGCTTCTGTCTTTAATCAACAATTCCAACAATTCAGATCGTTCTCTTTTTTCGTCGATATTGTCTTTTAATAATTCCGACAATGGTTTTTGATTAAATTCATTGAAGATTTCTCCAAGACAATTCGACAAATTTTGCTTGAATTAAAAAAATATTTAACGAAACAAAACATGTACATATAATGAGGCCGAGTTTAATTTTTTTAAATAAATTACTTCAACTTCCATTTTGAACTCATTCTTGCAGTATAATAATGCTGTTTCCTCTCTACGCCACTGTGGAAGAGGCAAAAACAATTTGTTAATCCAATCCCAACGTGTTTCTTTTGTTTGTTGCGATGTTATGATTTCTTTGAGAATTGAAAACAAAGGTTTCCTTCCATTATTTTTTGCTTCAGTATTTGTGTGGAAACGGCTACATTTATGTAAACCGTATGGAGGTTGCGGAACTGAGATTTTTAAACAATAAAAATAAAATTATAAATTATAATATGTATATCTCGGCTAATAGAAAGACACTTTTTTTTATTTATGCACTACTCATTTGCTGGAGGAGTCTTCTAGAAACACCTCCCTAAAGAGACACTCTCTCTAATATCTCTTAAATCGGAAGAAAAATAAAAACACCGATACTTCTACATATTTAAGGAAATAATTAACTCTTTGTCCCACCATATTTCGAGGCTTCCGAATGTCCGGCATCAACCCTTTCAACACAATCAGTCAAACAAACAAATAAAATAAGTTTAAATAAAAGGAGTAATTTTAAAAAACACATTATGGGGGTCTAAATTTTTAAAAAATTTTATAATAAAATGGCTGTTTAGAGGGGAAGCATATGAAGTGATTGAGAGGACGCGATTAAAGAATTGCCTGACATTAATGAAAGAGAGGGGAGCGGAGAGTGTAATCAATTAATTGAGGTGAAGGAGCGCGCTTCATAGCATTGGCTGGCATTAATTGTAGAGGGGGGGGGGAGGGGGGGGGAAGAGAGTGATTGAAAGGACGCGATTAAAGCATTGACTGGCATTAATTAAAGAGAGTGGAGAGGAGAGAAGGAGCGCGCTTTAAAGAAAGAGCGCGCTTTAAAGAAGGAGCGCGCTTCCTTCACCTCCTCAATTAATGGAGGTGAAGTGTCGCGCTTCATAGCGTTGGCTGGCATTTATTATTGGGGGGGGGGGGGGGGAGGGGGGGAAGAGAGTGATTGAAACGACGCGATTAAAGCATTGACTGGCATTAATTATAGGGAGGGGGAGAGAAGGAGCGCGCTTCATAGCATTGACTGGCATTAATTGTAGAGAGGTGGGGAGGGAAGAGAGGAATGCAATGGAGGTGAAGGAGCGCGCTTCATAGCGTTGGCTAGCATTAATTATAGAGGAGGGAGGGAGGGGGAGAAGAGAGGAGTGCAATCAGTTGAGGGAAAGGAGCGCATGATTATGAAATCTGCCTGGCATCGATTTTGTTTAAAAAAGTTTTATATGTTTACGTAAAAATTTAAAAGTTAGTTAAGAAATAGACTTGTTCTTGAAGCTATTCGTCAACTAGAAACCCAGATCAGCACCGCACGACAAAATTTTGAAAATTTTGATCTAATGTCTTCATTTTCAATATATGAAGATGAATCAGGAAAATTAAAAGAGATATTTGTTTGGGCAGATTGTTTTGCAAATATCTTTCTGTTAAAATGTATTTTAATGATATATAAGTAAAATTGTATATTGCACATAAAAATGATAATACTAAGATAAACTGCCCAGTATTTGGAAAAACATGAAAAATGTTCTTTATAAAGTTTCCCAAAGGAAAATATCTTAGCCATCTATTTGGATAAATCAAAAATCACAAGAGCTTAATAAACATAAGAATTCATGACTTACAGAAGGTCCATTGGAATAAATATTATTCTACTAATCCATTAGAATAATAAGTTAGAATAATTCAAAATAATCCATACACACCAGGGATGGGCGAAATCAAAAAATAAAAAGCGAAATGCGAAACTTTTTTAAAAAAATAAAATGCGAAATGCGGAATGCGAAACTTTTCGCGCCAAAAAATGCGAAAGATGCGAAATGCGAAAATGCGAAATTATTTAAAATTCAAAAAATTTTATTCATATTCAAAATTATAAATTACGAGATTATGATGCAAAAATAAAAGCATTTCTGCATTTTCTTGAATAAGACGTTTCCTCAGATTGTTTATTATTAATCCTGCACTACTAAACAACCTTTCTGCTTCAGCTGATGTACAAGGTGCTGATAGAAAGCGCGTTGCAATTTTGGATGAAATTGGCCATTTAACTGTATTGTCACCAGTCCAAAATCCATAAGGATCACATTCAATCGGAATCTTTTTTGCACGCAAATATTCTGTCACCTCAACCTTAAATATTGATTTAAAACAATAAGCAGTTTAAAGAAACCTCCGCTTTTTGGCGTGCGTTTAATGATTTTTTGCTAGGAAGTTCAAGTGCAAGTGGTTCAATATCATTTTGTTTTGAAATGGTTTTTTCACAGCGCTCAAAAAGTGAAAAAAATTCATTAGTTTTTTGTGTTGTAGATTGATCTTGTTCATTTTCAATCTCATTTCTCATCCAAATCCATTAAATCAATATCCTGATCTGTAATAACATCCAATTCATCAGAAATCTGAGATGTTGTTGCTGCTGATTCCGCAAATGCTCTAAATATTTAATTTGGAATAAAATTATTAAAAGCTTAAACCTTTTTAATGTCTGTTGCTGTGGCATTTTTGCTTTTCTTTTCGCTAAAAAATCATCATACAATTCTGGATGACTGCCACGTAAATGTGAGATTAAAAATGTTGTTGGCGCACGTGGCGGGTAGTTTTTTGAAAAACTACAACTTTTGCAGAACGCTACTCTTCCAGGAAGTGAGAAATACTTCCATATTAAAGACATTATAATTTTAAAAAATTTCTTAAAAATAAAAAAAAATACTTTAAGAAAAAGCGAAACAAATTTCGCATTTGGACCAAAAAGCGAAATGCGGAATGCGAAACTTTTCGCGCCAAAAAATGCGAAAAATGCGAAAGATGCGATTATGCGAAATCGCCCATCCCTGATACACACTCGGTTGTGCATTCGATCTGGATATCGGTGGATTAAAAGAGATATTAGAAGATTTGTGGGATTTAGCTTCATGGCTTTGCAGCGCTAAAATTGAAACCCAAGGAAACATTATAGCGTGCCTTTCCAAAGTCTAGCCACGAAATTGAAATTTTATTGTCGATTACTGTATCAACAGCTGATTAAATTCTATTTTGATATAATTATGATCCTAAAAGTGACTATTTTCCAATTTTTCGGTATGAAATATGGCAGATATGCCTGATAAAACGATACAAAAAATGAATCCTTTATCAATAAAAATGATTTAGTAAAATGAAAGGTAATCAGAAGTGACATTCTAATAATAACAAATGTTAATTGTTTAGACACAAGAATGAATTTATAAAAATGTCCATGAATGAACAAAATATCCAAATAATCTAATTGTAAATAAATAAAAAGAATTCATCAAAAGGTAGAAGTTGTACAGTCGTTCATGTTTTGATCTGGGCAATCTATCTCTCTCTCATTCTCTCTCTCTCTCTCTCATTCAAATTTTGTTTACCTAGTGATCGACGGCATCGTAATATCAACTGTATTTTTGGTATTTTTTGTCATTTTTTCCCGTAATTTTTCTGTTATTCTTCGTATATTTATCGGTATTAAGCGGTAGTAAGGAATATGATACGGTGTCATTTTAATTTAAACGGTATATATCGTTATTAGTTGGGGTTACAAGAACGAATACGGGTGGTACGAAACTCGATCACTAGTTTTACGTCAAAATAATAAAGAGGCGCAAAAAATAATATGAAAAATTAGAAAACTTGTTAGGCCCGGGACTTAAAACAAAAAAAAATTCATAACCACTAATAAATGTAAAAATCAAAAATCCTGAATTGGGAACCATAATGTGATTTAAAATCTAAAAAAATAAAAATAAAAAATGAAATAAATATATAATCTTTCTAATAATTTTGTAGCTCCAATCAATCTGTGCATTTTGTAGCCTTATCCTCCTTATGTAGACATAAATTCCTTGCTAAATTAAACGAAATATTAATCATTCTCTCAAATATTCAGATAATATGATTTTACAACTTGTTATTAATACCTATACATTTTCAAGCATAGATCGATGTTTAGGGGTTTCTGCGGTTAAAAAGCGGTTTTTTATAAGACTGGATTAGGCAAAAGGCGGATCCTGGAGATGGAGTATTTTAATTAATGTTGCGTGCTAAGTCTATGTTTGGGTTTACATTATTTCTGTCGGATCGGGGCTCGTGTCACAAAAATTTTGAGTTTCGGGTAACCCGACTCCTCAACGGTCAGAACCTTAATCAAATAAATTTGATTAAATCAAACCCTAATTTCTTTTGTTCATCTTTTGAAGGAAAGGATGCAGATTTTGATAAATTTTTATCCTTTCCAATGTTTAATATTCCGGGTGAATTTTTCATAAAAATTTCGTCCATACTCTTAGCTCTACGTAGCATGCTGCTACCTTCCCCTCTATGTTCACCAATCTTCTGTTTTGGATGTTTCTCCTTTTTAATATCCAAATGTTTTGGTGAAGTTGATATTTGAGGAACTGTTTGAATATGATGAACTGCTGGAAACCCTAATTTCTTTTGTTCATCTTTTGAAGGAAAAGATGCAGATTTTGAAAATTTTTTTTCTTTACCAATGTTTATTCCGGATAAATTTTTTGTAGAAATTGTGTCCATACTCTTAGCTCTACGTAGCATACTGCTACCTTCTCTATCCTTAACAATCTTCTGCTTTAGAAGTTTTTCCTTTTTATGATCCAAATGTTTTGTTAGAGTTGATGTTTGAGGAACTGCTGGTGATTGATGAACTGCAGGCAACTTCTTTTTTAAGTTTTCAACTCGGGTTCCTATCGAATTCACATTTCTTACATTCAACCAATCTTTCAACGTAACAAAATCCTTTCTTTTATCAATTTTACTTTGAGGGTGATATTGACTTTTAAATTTTTCTAAGAAATTTTCAATGTTTTTGTTGAGGATCCTCTTTTCAGGTAAATAACGGAAACTTCCCGTTTCGTTTAATATATCTTAATTTATTCAATTTAATTTTTTGCTTTATTAAAAATGTTTTTAGTATATGGAAAAATATTAAAATTAAATATATG